ACAATCATCTAATCAATGCCAAAGAGACATGCATTTCCATACATTCATTCACTGTGGAAGATGCGAAAAATGAGCCATGCACCAGAAAAGATGGATTGCTTGCACAGTACACACACATCCACCGTTCACAAGACAAGAAGACGGGGTCCTTGCACGGAAGGATTACCCAGGAAACTAATGGAAGAGTTTCGGAAGAAGTTCTTTCACGCAAGGAAAGCATACGGATTCATGCTCATCCAGAAGAGGGAAAGAGAGAGAAGGAGAGAAGCATTGAGACACATCATTATTTAAAGATAGAGGAGAAGGGGAAGGTGAGGGGGCAGAGTCAAGATAGGAGATGACACAACCCAAAAGAAGGAAGCCCAGCGTTGTCAGAGAGAAAGATCCGCAACAACAAAGGCGCATTCGCCATTAATTCCAATATGGCCCCGGGCCAATAACTCACTCAACTCCAATCATCGATCCTCATACCCGCACCGATGATCCCGGCCGCCGCATGCTAACTCCCACCACTGCGATCGTCACCCCGCTATCGTAGACTCGACACGGTTCGCCCAGATCCCACAGTCCGTCGTGGCGATCCAGCGCGCAACCGGCCAGCCTATCGTCATCCCGACAGGACTTTCCGACTCGCACCAAACACTCTGCCTAGCCACTGCTTCCCGGAAGCTGGCTCGAGAGTCAAGAACGTAAGAGAGATTTACGGACGCGCTTGCGGGTTTTATAGTTGCGACAGGGAAGATAGAAGGGGGAGGTGTAAGAGGAGAAGCAGGAGGAGAAGACTTTGAGAGGAGTGCTCTACGAACGCCATGTTGATCTCTCGAAACTCAAGGTTCAACCAATCAGATTCGTCGCGCAATAGGAAGGTCCTATTGATCCACGCACCAGATTGGCAAGCGGGAGTTATCGATGGATCGACCGGGCGTCGTGCGCCAGACTCAGAGGGTGAGGAGAGAAAAGGCGCGAGAAGTAGCGCAAGACGGGTCCAAGATTCAGATGATCAAGAAAGGGAAAAGGACGGGCAAAGAGCAAGGCGGGGGAGGGAGAGAGAGAAAGAAAACAGTTACGGGGAGAGAGAAAGAGGAGGGAGAAGGGGAAAGGAGCGCGGGAGGGAGCGATGCGGGGGACAGAGAGGAGGAAGTTTTGCACGCGCGGCGCCGTCAACAAAAAGAGAGAAAAAGGCACCGAAACAGTTACAGGTTGCTTCTATCCTAATTCAAAATTGAAATCACCATATCCGCGCGCGAAAAGGCGACGAGGGAAAAGAAAATCCTACGCCTATTCGTATTCTCACAAAATTCCGAGAGTTTTCCCCGACGCGACAAAAAACATTCACACATACGAAAACGACACGTCGAAGTTCCGCTTATCCCGGAATTCCGAACTGCCGAGCCCAATTCCCAGTGCGCTCGCTGAGGCGCACGTAATTTCCTATGTATTTCCCGAAGTGCAGAAAGGAAAAACAGAACCCGGGAGTCGAAAAAGCTTTCCGAAAGATGGGAGCCAAAAACACGGTACCCAAAATCAAGAAAACGAAGCGGGGTTTTTATAGGGTTGGTATGATACAAGCAAAAAGAGGTACGGAAGATAGCACGGGTTCGGGAAGTGGTTCGTCACATATGAGACGCGCAGGGGGTTCCAAAATTATGCGATCTCCCGATTGCATGTCATGGTGGAACAGGGTGATGCATGAGGAACCAAGCGTATCAACAAACGATCCAGCCAGAGTCCATGTTGACGCCAACTTCAATTGCAATTGTCTGTTGCTGGAATCCTCGATGGTCGTCCAGGTGACGCCATCATCATCCGCTGGTTCTCTGTGTGCTCTGCACCCCAGCTGGTTGCTGCCCGTCGAATCAGAGCGTCGATGGCGTGATCTTCGTGAAGTTTACTGATTCATGCCGTTTTCCCCGGCTGATTGGATGAAGAGAGGGGAGGGAGAGAGGGGGGGGAGGGGATAGTGATGTGATCGGGATCTACCTCCTAGTTGGAATGGGCCAATAGAGGCGGTACATGGAGGGGATTTCACGGGGTCGACGGGGAGGAAGTGGGGATAGGAAGCGATTCATTCCTTCCATCGTCACCAGAAGCTCCTCATATCAGATGATCCGGTGGAAGTGGGGGAAGTGATCGCCGCTGCGAGGGAGGGAAGCGAGGTAGTCGCGATAGAAGGAGGTGAGGGTGCGGAAAAGCGCCGCTCAAAAGATTTCGTAGTGGCGGCATGCGGGGATTGTCCCCGTGGCTACGCAGTAGACTTCTACTATGTTGCATCGTTCCCAGGCAGCGCTGAACAGCAGGATATGCCAGCAGAACGTGGGGGCAGCGGGTTGAAGGGATGCGTGGGGGTAGACAGTAGCGAGTAGGCGGGTAGTGTAGAAGTCACGGAAGAGATGGGGGAGGAAGGGATGGGGAGGGAAGGTGACAGGGGTGCGGATCTGTTCGAGGGTGAGAAAATCAAGGGGTCGGCAGGATAGCATCCGAAGACCGAGGCCTATCGCCCGCATTTGTACGTGGGCGAACTGAGGGATGGGTGGGGCTGGAGGAGGAGGGGGATCGGCTCCGTCTCCGTCGCGCGGTACTTGAGGTGGCGGCTGCAGGGTCGCCATCTTCTTGCGTCGGCGGCTCTGGATCCCTGGTGGGATCGTTACCGATGCGCAGGCTGGCTTCGCTGGCGAACTCCAGCTGACGCTTCCCAGAGGCAATTTCTTCGCGCTTTCGCGCCGCTTCCGGATCTTCCGCCTTCGTTCCCATGCGCGTCGCTTCCTCCGACAAGGCTTCCCACTCAGATCCGGTTTCTTCTTCCTCGTCTTCTCCTTCGCGCAGCTTGCCCTCGCTATGTTCGCTATAGCTTCCCTCCTCTGATGTTTCCTCGTCCTCGTCCTCCTCCTCGTCGTCGCCGATCACCACTTCCTCTGCCCTCGGATAGAAGGCATGAGGGATGATATCGTACGACTTCAGATACTCCTGCCGCGAGGGCAACGTATCTTCGTCCCTGGGCTCCTCCAAGCACGCAGTCCACTGAAGATATGGGTCCAATGAGCGTTCGAGAACGTGCGGAGCAGGATTGTCGTCACTCTGCAAGTAGATATCGGGAGAGAGGTTGTCCGCCAATTGCACGATTGGCGCGATGAGCTCTTGTGCAATCAGCTGGCGGCGCCCCGGCCGTACCGATCCAAAGAGAAAGCCAAAAAGATCTCCCTCCACGTTAGTCCTCCAAGCCTGTATGATCAGCAGCTCCGGATTCTCGATCCACGTGGGATGCTCGCTGGTGCCCATCCACGTTAGCTGTACTCGAGCCAGGCAAAAAGACAGCTCGACAGAAGTTTCGCGCCACAGTCGCCAATGCCCGGGATTGATGAGCGGGACAGAAAGAGGATCGAATGAGAAGGAAAGAGAAGGATGAAGATCGAATTGCCAGAAGGTGGGGAAGAGAGAGGGGAGGCCAAAGATAGAGAGAGGAGCGAGAGGATCAGCGTGGTTCATTGGGGATGTGGGAAGGGGACAAGGGTGGGAATCACAACGGGCCGCTCACACGGAGAACGGTCGGGATGAGATTGTGCCCAGGTCGGGCGAGAACGTGCTGCCACACGTTGGACACTTGCAACGTCCACTCGCGCAATGAAGTCAAGATCGCAGTATGCCTTTGCGGATTGACCGAGCTGATGTCGCCGCTGAACGCCGCGACCGTGGTGACGTAGCTCGTTCTGGGAGTCGCTCGCCGATGAACTGCGATTACCTCCGCGAATACTACTGCGTGAGGACTCCCTTCGATTCGAAACGCGGCGGCGGCACAGATACCCACGTCGCAGAAAAATTGCGCCAAACGCCGAAGATCCGTATTGAGCCGAGGGTGACAAACTTGCCGAATCTCTGAGATGTGGCCACGTGGCTGCAATAGCTGTATGTCAAGAACATGCTCCGTGATGAAACTCATGGCGAGGTCGGAGAGGAGGACGAAGGACAAGAGGGAGAACGAGGAGAGAGAGTTAGATCATCGCCGTTCTCCTTGCTTTCCGAGAAAGAAGAGGGAGGAAGATCAGAAGGAGGAAGGAGACGGAGGTAGGAGGTATGCCGGACGATGGGGACAGAGCTATGGCTGGCACTAGCCTGAGGCGCGATGCGCACCGTGTTGGTGCCGTTGGGTCCGAGCTCGACAACGTGAAAACAACCAGAAAACTTGGGAGCGAGTTTCCGGTCGTGTGCACATTTAGAAACCTGCACTAGGTCCCCCAATTTATATTGATGATGGGGCCCAGCATTTCCATTCCGAGCCTCGTAGCTACAGACCTGTCTACCGTGGGCCAGTTCGATCATCCTTTGCCTTTTTCGGGCTAGCTTCAGGACGGCCTGTTCCATTAATTCGGTGTACCTTTTGGCCTTGGCCTTAAGAGCTGCACGCGTGTCTCTACCCCATGCTTCGGCAATTTCCGAGTTACCCCAGTAGTCGACACAGGGGAGGCTATTAGTTCGAAGCTGAAAAGGAGTAAACCCCGTGGACTCGTGAGGGGTGGCCCGATGGATCCCGACGATTTGATATACGATCTCGGGCCAAGGACGCGTGTCATGTGCCGCTAAGTTCCTGCGAAGGGCAGTTTTAATCATACGGTTGGCATTTTCGGCCAACCCGTTCGAATGGGACACGTGGGCTGCCATATGTCGGAGCGTGACGCCCCTTCACGCAAGCAGTTCTTCTACCTCGCCCTTGAATTCAGACCCATTGTCGGTCATAATTTCTTCCGTATCTAGATGGGTATAGAGGAATCGTTTGATGTACGTGGCTATTTCTGTGGCTTTTCGGGTCTTACAGGGATAGACTTTGATGTACTTGGAAAAATGGTCTATTAATACTAACAGGATAGAATATTCACAGCGGTTTGGGCCAGGTGGCACGCCGATATTTGTCGTGTCCATACTGACTCGTTGGAAAGGACGCTCGACTTCCGTTGGCACGATCGTGTTTGGTCCCCGTATAGGGGCGCGATCAGCGGCACAGACCACATAGTTAGCGACAATGTATTTGACATCATCTCATATATTGGACCAGAACCATCGGTTCTGATCTACAGTTGCCTCCGTGACACGTATCGCGAAATGAGCGGCCTGTTCTTCGTGAGCCGATCGGATCCAATCGTATCTCTGGAATAGAAGGGGAACCGTCAAACATGAGCCTGATCCGTCAGTTTTACGCTTTTCCAAATGACCGTTGACCCATCGATAGTCCCGAGATCTCTCGGTTGCCCTACGTATATCGTGTTTGGTGAGGTGGCCCAGTGATAATCCCGCTAATTTTGCCAATAAAATTTTATCCGTCCAAACCTCCGCCTGTCGGTATTTTTCGTCGTATTCAGGGTCGTCCGCACGGGCGGCCTCGAATCGAACCTCCGTGGGGAGTTCGTTCGTTCTACACAGGGGGCACCTCCATTCCTTGTTATTCGGCCGATATCGAACGCAGGCCCTATGCGCACGATTGACACACGTGGCACATTCTACGCAGTCGACAAACCCGGTTTCGAAAGGATGACAGTCGACCCCATAGACCCGTGCAATGCACGTGCAAAAATAACAGAATTTATCAGGGAGGGTGGCAAAGAAAGCTGAGGACGTGAGAGGGGCAGAATTAGTAGGAGATGAAGGGGTTTCAGAGGCAAGTGGGGTAGTCATAATGACAGAGAAGGAAGGGATGCAGAGAGGGTAGAACAGACCAATTAGTCCTCGTGTCACTCACTGCTTCGATAAGATCTCCACTTGGCCGTACCGAGGTCTGATCTCCTGTTCGGGTTCGTTCCATAGAATCACCTCCTCACTCTTCGGAACTTTCTCAGGCCGGTGTAGTCGTGTTTGTCCGTCCGCATTCCCGTGCCTCTCGTGCTTCCGATGACGAATGTCAAAGTCCATACTCTGCAGCACCGTTGCCAATCGCCCGATCATGCCAGAGTTATCCTTCGATTTCTTCAGAGCCAACAAGGGCTCATGATCACCAAGGTGAACTTTCGCCCGTACAGGTAAGCGCGAAAGGGGTTGATTCCCCAGAGAGCCGCGTAGCATTCCCCCGTTGGAGCGGCGTAGTTGCACTTGCAAGCTAGCACCGATTTGGACGCATACTCCACCACACTCTCTAGTCCGCTTGGTCTCACCAGGGCTATGATCGCCGAAATTGTCTCTGGCTGCCAGTCAGTGATGAGAACAAAAGACTTTTCGGGATCCGGTTTTATAAGGACCGAAGCCAAAATGGGAGCGGCCTTGAGTTTGGACAACGCTTGATCGCATTCCGGCGTCCAGATCAACGGTTGATCTTTGCGCAACAGATTCATGAGGGGTCCCACAATCGCCGCGAAGCCCTTGATAAATCTTCGATAGTACGAGGCCAGGCCCAGAAAGGCGCGAACTTGCGTGATAGTTGTAGGTATCTCTGACAGCTGCCACCTTATGTGGCTCCGACTGGAGTCCCTTGTCTGTCACCACGTGCCCTAGGAAGGAAATGGTGGTGAGAAAAAACTGACACTTCTCAAGCGCCACCTTGAAGCCCGCATCTCGTAACGCGTGCAGTGCCCATTCGATGTGCTGCACGTGTCCCTCGTAGGAACTCGAATACACCAAGATATCATCCATGTACACAATCACGCAGTAGTTGATGATGCTCTGTGCCAAACGAGTCTTTCTCACGAAATTCTGAAAAGCCATGTTCATGGCCCGCTGAAAGGTCGCGGGGGCGTTGCAGATACCCATTGGACATCGAATCCACTGCCATGTGCCCTCGAAAAGTACAAACGCTGTTTTCGGACGATCTTCTTCTCGAACAAGAAGATGATGGAACCCATGACGAACATCAAACTTGCTGAAAAATCGAGCACTCCCAATCGCATCCCACAACTCATCAATCCGAGGGAGGGGGTACACATCTTTGATCGTGATATCATTCAACTTTCGATAATCAATGCAAATGCGAATCCCTCCGGCCTTTTTAGGCACTATTACTACGGGGAAAGACCAAGGACCTATGGCGGGTTCAATCCATCCATTAGCTTCGAATTCTTTGATCCGCTGAAAAGCGGCCGCTCTTTGAGCTGGCGAGTATCGGTAAGGAACGCAGCTAATGGGTGGATGGTCTCCCGTGAGAATGGCATGCTCGATCACATTAGTTAAGCCGATGTCATTATCGTGTATGCTCAGTACTTCTGCGTAACAATTTAACACACAAATTTACGACTTTCGAAGTTCCGCGGGAACGTGACTCGGTAGGGTAATTGTTGATTCCCCGGAAATCTTAAGGGGTATATCGACCCAATCAACTGGTCGTTCCCGTCGATCATAGACACTAGAGAAAACGAAACTACTGGTGTGAACAGAGAAGACAGTTGCTATCATCTAGGACTCAGTGGGGCTAATCATCTCCGTTTCTTTAGTTTCAGCATCAGTCTCTGAACCAACCGAGGTCGGTTCCACAGTTAGCCCCGTTAGATCCGTCATTTCCTGCATCAGATCAGGTACATCACTTACCGGTGCTTCCGCCTCTTGTTTAATCAAAGCGGCGGTGACTCCTGTCGTTAGTAACATTCTGGGCGGGAAAACAGAAACATCCAAATATTGTTCCGTTTGCTGATAACGCGTTCGTAAGGAGAGAGATCCTTCGTACAAGGTGCGAGGGGGTTCCGAATCATCGGCCAGGTCAGATACTTGTAATATAGGTTCCCCAAGCAGGACCGAAGGACTGATTGGAGTTATCGGAGGCGGGAGCGCGCTGTCTCGTGAATCTACGTGGAAGCTTCGAGCAGGGTCGGGGCATAGTTGAAATTCTTTGGGAATTTCATATTCGAAAAGTTCAACCAGATGCTTCCATTCATCTTCGCTAGGCAGCTCTTCTCCATATTCCTGTTCCCTGATTCCACTATCAATATCTGAGGAAGAACACTCATCGGGATTAATGTATCTGATCATCCCTATTTGGGCCGAGTTAGGGGTTCGTTTTATCGTTCGGGTGGAAATTCGCAAAGGAACAGTTTGAGGCTTTCCCCAGTTTGAGTGAGCACCAGTTGTTTCGAATCGAAATGCAATCGTGCGCCCACTGCCATCACCCAAAGCAATCCTAATAGTACAGAATAGGAGCGCACATCTATCACGAACGCATTAACGAGGACGTGTACTCATCCAACCTTTACAACTACGTTTTCAATAATGCCTACGATATTCATTGCTTCCTCGTCGGCGGAGACATAATTGTCTTTGCCAGATTGAGGAAGAATGGATCCGAGTCATCCCATCTTTCTGACAGTGTCTAATGATATATGGCTACTGCAGATGACCCTGTGTCGATAAGGAC